TTGATTAACTTTGGTGACAAAAGTTGCATGGTTTCCCTATTAGCCCAGACTACCTTTTGTGGTCAAAATTTTTACTCATTTTGTGAGAAAAAAATTGTTCTATTTTGTTTTCTTCCCGAGCCAGATGGGAGAAAAGGCTGCTAACAGGGAACAGCTCTATACTGCTTCCTACTGCAGTGCAGAGTATATCAGTAGCCACTTCAACATGCATCAAAGAGCCACTTTGTCCAGAGCCACTCCACCCTTATATCCCCAAAGACAACAAGAACAGTCCATCTGGCAGATATATCAAGAGGCAAAAGCCAGCCACAGGTCATTTTCTGCGAGTCACCACCAAAAAAGGGATAGAAGGGGATTGTTTAGGAGAGGGGGCTATATGATTTAATTGAGATAAGTATTCAGATTCTGACCCTTTTGAGATCTTTCAGCACTCTAGATATGGTCAAAAATGTAGACTTTCCTGGTGGACATTTGAAGCTTTTATGCTCTGCCTATGTGGGTACTGTCATGAACCAAGAGTACAGGAAGGGCATGATTTGAAGATAAATATTCATTATGAAAGATTCTGAGCCAGCAGCAAGGGTCTTCTATGTTACTATCATTAACCTTCAGTAGAAATGTTAATTGAGATAGAGTAGTCCCACATTTTGTTTTGATTGCACTGGGAAGCAATTTTGAACTGAAATATGTTTGTATGACCTTCATTTTGTGACATATTTAAGCTAAAACAGTTTTTAACCACCATCTACAGCAAACGTCCATAAGGTGATGTTCACAGAATACAGTTTACTCTGCAATTGCACCTTTAATTGAAGAATCTACTCTGGTGTTCTGCGGAAATAAATAGACTCAGCAAAAAGCTCATTGTATGATGAAGTGTGAAATGAAGTTTTGACAGTCTGCATACCCCACACTTAAGCAGCAATCAACTGCTGCAGAATTATATAATCTTCAGTATGCTGCTGTACAGGGTGAAATTAACTAGTCAAATACATAATGAAGTACAATATTAAGTATGAACGAGGCAGCAGAAAGCTTCTTGAATACATTATAGCTAGACCAAATTACGAAATATCAGTTCAGTTTCATAAAGGAACAGAAGATCGGCATTTCTAAAAGGAAAGCATTCATATTTACCTCTCAACTAAAGTGGGCAAACTTATGTGTGCATCCCTTTTGTTTTTTGGCCAGAAAAATGCATAATTTGGTCAACTAAAATAGTTCACACGTGTGGGTCAATTTCAGTGATTTGTTTCCACAGAAAAGAAAAAATTTGGAGATAGCAAAAGTGAAACTTTTCAACTTTTTGTTTCAGAATTCACTTGGAGTTAAAAAAACATTTTAAAAGCTTTGAAATTAAAAATGAAGGATTTAATTGTTGGTTGACAAACTGTTTTATATGTACATATAAGTACTTTTGGACCTGCATTTGAACTGAATATTTCATTTTTTTGAACATCCCTATTTCTTGACTACTACATGCTGTAGGCATTCAGGAATTAAGAAGGTATCCTATAACATTTACTGCCCCACAAATTACTTCAACAAAATATTAAGTTGTTTGGTAGGTATTTTGGAAATATAGCCAAGTTGCACTCTTCTAAATATTCCTGAAACCATCTATAGTAGGGCTGGCCATACTGATTTAGAAAATTAAATACTATTTTATTTACCCAAAATTTGAACTGAACCAAAGTATTAGAGATTTTGTTTTGGAGGTTCAGAAACATTTGGTAATGGATACATTTTTCCAAGAGTACCCATTAGAACTCAAATCCCACTTGCAAAATGGACTTTAGCTCCTAAGTCATGTAAGAGCTTTTGAAAATTTTACCCAATATCTTGGTGTGTGGTTTGGTTTTGTTTTTTGCATGTCTCTGCACCTTCTGATCCCAGCAGGGACCAAAAAAAAAAAAAAAAAAAAAAAAAAAAAAAAAAAAAAA